ATTCTTGGGTGCGAGAGAAACGGGTGGGATAGGATAGGAACGGACAAACCAGCAATGCCGCATACGAATCGCAAAAAGAAGAGTGGAGCGAGGGAAACCGGAGAAGAGACGGAGAAGACGAGAAAGATTGCGCAGTCGACAAAGAGGAAACAGGTAGAGGATGGAGAGGGCTGGACACATGTTGTGGGTGGAGGGAAAAAGACGGGTGCTGCAGAGACCTGGACGCATGCGGGTGATTTTGTGAAAGATGGGGTTGCGTACATTGAGCGTACGATGGAGGAGATGCAGGCGGATTTGGAAAATTATAGGAAGCAGTGGGAGAGTAGTGAGGCAGCTGGTCAATTGAAGAAGATTTTACAAGGGAGGAGTAAGGTGAACAGTGTAGTTTGTTTGGGGCTGGGAAGTTTGCAGAGTGCGAGGAGGGAGGGGAGGAGGAGTAGCTATACTCAATTGGCGGCTCTGATGATGATTATCGAGGAGTTTGGTGAGTTGTGTTTGGAATCGCAGGTGGGAAATACTAGGACTAATAACATTTTAGGTGGTATGGGTGAGGATAAGATACAATGTATATTTCAAGACCCTCAAAATACTGAAGGCGACAAGGAGTTCTTCACATCTTTGGGTGGAAAAGTCGTGGACGATCCTTTGGCATTTGATTACATTAGAGAGGATACTCTTGTGTATGCGATACATTGCTATGGGCCAGTTTATAAGACTATTAGTCAAGGACCTCGACCCGCAGTCCTCATAGGAACAGACGTGGACAACTTCTCAAATTTGTGGTTGTGAGTTATGTGACATGTATTTATTGGCAGATGTTGACATTTCACAGATCAAAAACAGAAACTCTCGAACAACATCTAGACGACATGATCAAAGATTGCGAGATCATAAATTTCCCACAACTTCGACATGATTTCTCGGATACAAAAATATACTGGCGGAATGAGCCAACTGTTTGAGAGGGGGTGTAACCGAAGACGAACTCTCACTAGCAACGTATTTCAAATATGCCAGAAAATTCAAAGTATACCATCAATTCAAATTAGACTTTATGATCTCAATTGATCTCACTAGACTTCACCACCGTACCAAAAGCATCCGCCAACTCGGCCAAAACCGTCTTGACCAACTCCTCCGCCTTCACCCCCGGGATATCTCGATCGCCAATCGCATCCTCCACAAACAAAACCTCATATCCCTTCTCAGCTGCCTGTCTCGCCGTCGTACTCACACATACATGCGCCATATATCCCGTCAACACTAGCTTCGACTTGCCCGTCTCTTTGATATACGCTTCCAAATCTGTTCCGGTAAATGAACCAGGATGTTGTTTCGCAATCACTTTCTCATCGTTTTTGGGAGTTAGCTCTTCGAATTCTTGAGCGAGCTCGGTGTCGGGTGTGAAGACGGGGGCGCCCGCGGGGACTTGGTGTACGATGTGGGCGAGGGAGCCGTGGGCGGCGCGGTATTTTTCGAGGAGGGAGGAGATGGCTTTGCGGGAGGAGGAGACTTGGGAGACTTTGAGATGGCCTTGGGCGTATCTGTGGAGGGGGAGGGGGTGGTTAGTAGATTTTTATGGGTGGGTGGGGGAGGAAGATGGATGGATGGATGGATCAAATATGAAGAAGAGAATTGGAATAGATGAAATTGAAATAAAATAAAATAAAATACACACTCATTCTGCGCATCAATAATGATTAATACACTATCCTGCACGGAAGCAGTAGATGGTGGAACACCAATTAGTTCTCGGAATGCTTTGGCCTGGGTTGTCATGATGTAGGTGTTTGCGTGGTGTGGTGTGATGTGGTGTGTTGAGAAATAGATGTAGATTTCTTCTTTGGATTTGGATGCGGGGAGGGGGAGGGGGGGTCGATTGATTGAATTTTATGGAGGGGTGTTATGTATGTATGCTTATTTTATGGTGAAGAAGAGAGGGGGGCTTGTTTTAATTTTCTATTTCTGTTTCTATTGGGATTGGTGTTGGGATTGGATTTATAAGATTGAAGAGGTGATTACTTATTGTTTCATATTACATTATATTACATTATATCATATTATACCATCTTATACCATCTTATGCCATCTTATACCATATCAGGTATCGACTGCAATAGATAGTAGGTATGTGAGCGAGTGCGTGAAGTGTATGTAAATTGTTTCGTTTCCCCTCGTTTGTGTTGGATTGGGTATTGGGTGTGAGGTGTTTCTTGGATTGGATTGCGGGGTACGTACGGAGTAGGGGATGAGCTTTTTGGTTATCTGGGTCATGATGGATGGATGGTGTGCTTGGGGAAGTGGAGTGGGTAGCTCGGTGGTAGGTTGGTGCTGGAGGCATTTTTAAGGTGTGGACTCTGGAGTGCTTGGATGGATGGATGAATGGATGAATGAATGAATGGATGAACAGCCGAGCGATAGGCCGAGCGGGTTGCTAAGGGGGAGGAAGGTTATTTAGTAGGTGGTAAATAATAGGTGATGGGTAGTAGATGATTGATTGATTGAGTGATATTTATTAGGTATCTCGGTTACTTTTGTTACTTGGGCAGTAGAGTAGTGAGCATGGATCGTGGGAGGCGGAGGTAGAGTAGAATATATGAGTACTCTGTAGTGTGTTAATCCGAGAGTGATGAATACGAAGTTTGGAGTCTGGGTTGGAATGGATGAGGAGAAGGATGGATGGATGGATGAATAGATGGATGGGTGGACTGCTTTTCTTCTTCTTTTGTCTGTGAGAAGATAGGTAAATAAAGAGGTGTCTATCTTTTCACGCTGTATCTATCTACATTGGTATGGTATGTATCTCCATAAATATGTACCTATGCATATGTCACATGCATGTTTGACTTTGTACCAGCACCAGATCGTGATTTCGTGTCAAATAAATATATATGTGTGTATGGGGTATATATGTGTATATATGTGTATATATATCTAGATATATCTAGATATAGAATCTCCAGAAGATATACATGACTTATATACATACATATAATAATTATATCTATCAACTATCCAGAATATATCACTCACCTCTCTCACACCTCTGAAACACATGTCATCATTTTTAATTTATTTTTTTGCGAGGATGAGGAAATACGGAGTAGGCGAGGTAGGTAAAACCAAGGTTTTCTTCTTTTTCTTTTACACAGTACTTGCTTGCTTTTGATGTCGATGTGGATTGGCTTGTTCGGTTCGGCGAGATCCACTACCTAGGTATCGAGCATCTAGGTAGTATGCAATGGGATCGTGAGACTAGGTAATAATGTTGTGTGTACTATCAAGTATACCCCTGATGCTGATAGTGGCTGGGTGACTTGCTTTCGAGCTTGTTTTATGGACTATGTGCTTGGTGTGTGGTTGAGCTCTTGGGGGGAGATGGTTAACGTGTATCGATCGATGAATTGTTTTGGGGAGTGAAGAGAGTGAGAGGGAGAGGGAGAGGGATGTAGATGATGAGAATCTTTTATTTTGTTGAATGGATGGATTGATATATATTGAAATGTATATTTATATCGTCTTGCCGTAGCTGTACTAAATCTGTTGTCTAGATTTGAGTACGTTTGCAGAAATACCTAGATACCCACCTACCTACATCCGGATTTGTTCCTCGCTAGTGTAGTGTCTCCTAGGTAGTCCAAGTCTGATATCTAAAAATGTAACTATTAGTGAGTACCTAGATAGTGTGCTTGGATCATCATGGAATGGATCTCTCAGTCAACCAACCAAAGAAGGTTAATCGATTGCAGGCAGAGAGATAGATAGACACACAGCGTTGACGGGGGCGGAAGGATTCGAGGATTCGAGCAAAGACTTGGAAAGACTTCGTTGAAGAGGTTCCCTGTTACACTTTGTATGTAGCTATCTTTCAAAAGGTACCGAGGACTCAGATACTCCACTCTAGCTTCTTCTTTTTCTTCTTTCATTTTGCACGGTGCTGATAAGTTCAGTTACCAGCCTCGCACAGTACACACACGCGGCTTCTAGCCAATTGTGGGAGAGATGTGAGAGGAAGTGGAAGAGTTGGGTCTGGAGGTTGGAGGTTGGAGGTTGGAGGTTGGAGGTTGGTAGGAAGTTGGTGGGAAGGAGGGAGGGAAGCTCGTGTGGGTGGGTGGTGAATAGTCTTTTTTTTATTAAGTTGAAGGGGTGGAGGCACGGATGTCATTGGAGGAGAGGACGTTCGATGTATGATGCGGGAAAGATGGTTGGGGATGGATGTGATGTGATATACTCTGTGTTGTTGTTCATGATACCCGTATACAAAATACAGCCTCATGATTATTGGGAGTGGATTGTGTATTTGTGTGTGTGTTTGTGTTCCTGTTCCTGTTCCTGTTCCTGCTTCGCTTTTTGTTCTTTTCTTGCTTGGCTTTTCTATCTTGAAGTTGGAAAGTACCTAGGTAGGTATTATTGCACCGTTGAAGGTATCTCTTGATTGATTTGACTGAGGATTGGAATCTTGCAACTTCCAACTTCCAACTTCATAATTCTCTCTCCCGCCCTCCCTCTCAGATCAAAACACAATTCATAACTTCCAAATTCTCGTATTATTATCCCATCGTTTCGTATCGCCCTCCATTGTCGATAAATAAGCTTTCCGCGATCCTTGCTTTGCGCTTTCACATTTGATCGATAAGAATCGAAGAAATACATCAAAACACCTCTTAGTACCATTATTAGTTCAATCCACCATCAACCACCAGAAAACCAAGTTGTCCCACATAATAAATCAAAAAAAAACTCCAAAATCCCATTCCCAGAATTCGACCCAGAATCCGACCCAGGGCCAGTGCAAAATCCTATTCGACCGTCGACCACTGCCCCCCTCCCTATCCCAAAAAATACAAGTGGGATTCCTATCAATCTATGAGTACCTACTATTAGTTGGAATAGAGTAAAAGATCGTCCGAAACGAAAAAGAGCTACAATTCGGTTTCAAGATACTCTCATCTTCCCAGTCTCTCCTCTTCTCCTCTTCTTTCTCTCTTTCTTTCCTCATAATGTCACGATATTCTTTCGAAGATATTCATCTTAATTATCAAGATTCCTCTTCACTCGTATCTCCACCAACATCTCCACCAAGATATCCCTTACCACCACCACCTCAATCGCAACCGCGTAATCCTTTAAACTTCGCCTCGCAATCAAATTCATCACAAGCTCAAGAATCATATAGCCAACAGATTGGAATGTCAAATTCTGCTTCATTATTACATTCACGAGAAAACTATGGGGAAGTGGAACCTGTGAGTCCGATAATAGATAATCCACCAATTCCTCCACCACATCGGTCGTCACAATCTAGTCAGGAATCTAGAATACGCAATCAAAACAATAACACACACGTTACATCGGGACCAGGTAATTTTAGTGATCAAGCTGCGGGTGGTAGAAACGGCGTTGCTATGAGTGTCGCAAATTCAAATGCCGGGGAAAGTGGTGTGGAAGCCACAAGACATACCCCAGGATATGATCCAACACAACCTTCATACCAAGAGTCTCCATTCCAACGCCCGTTTCCACGGCAAGATGCATCAACATCATCTCTGACCCCTTTAAATGTTGCTGCTTTCCCAACCGGAATGTCAACTCCTTCTTCACGTTCGACTATTTCTGGTCGAAATCCTCCTTCAGATCCTTACACGGATTCTCCTTACCCATATAATCGATATTCAAGGGCAATTGACCCAGAACTGGTTGAATTTGACCCCAGTACGATTGCAGACGACGGAGACGACGGTTTAGGATATAGACGAGTTAATAGATCTTCTGTCTTGAGTTTAAATAAAATGTCAGATAGCGGATCACGAACACCTCCGGGTGGGAAAGCTATAGCAGCTGGCGGTGTTGTGGGAGCCTTGGGTGGTCTTGTTGGAAAGAAGAGTGCGAATGCGAATGGGGAAAATACACAATACAACGATGTTACAAATGCACAAAACGGTTATAATGGGACGGACACTTACAATCTTAGTGTGGAAAAGAACGAATGGTTGAAGAAACCACCAGGGGGTAACAAAAAGATGAGACTATGGATCGCTTTACTGGTTGGATTTTTAATTTTAGCGGCCGTGATTGGAGGAGCGGTTGGTGGTACATTGGCGGGCAATGCGAAGGGGGGATCGGATTCAGGAGTCTCTCAAAATGGGGTCACCAACGGACAATCTGCATTGTCAGATACTTCCAAAAATGGCGATCTTAACAAGGATTCAGCGGAGATCCAAAAGTTGTTGAACAATCCCGACTTGCACAAGGTTTTCCCCGGAATCGATTATACACCAATGTATACACAATACCCAGCTTGCTTGTCATACCCAGCAAGTCAGAACAACGTTACAAGAGATGTGGCTGTGCTTTCGCAACTCAGCAACACTCTTCGTCTCTATGGTACGGATTGTAATCAAACGGAGATGGTTCTACATGCTATTGATCAATTAGGATTGAATGGTACCGTTAAAGTTTGGTTGGGTGTTTGGCAGGATTCAAACACTACTACTAATACTCGTCAGCTCGAGCAACTCTACAAGATTTTTGATGAACATGGATCAGCATCTTTTGTTGGTGTTATTGTTGGTAATGAGGTTCTCTATAGAGAAGATATGACTGCCTCCGAGCTCACATCTATTATCCAAGATGTCAAATCTAATATGACAACTCGTGGTATCGATCTCCCAATCGCTTCTTCGGATCTTGGAGATAACTGGACCGCAGAGCTCGCTAACGCAGTCGACTTTGTAATGGCTAACATTCATCCCTTCTTCGCTGGTGTTACGGCTGAGGAAAGTGCTGGTTGGACATGGGACTTTTGGCAAAATCACGATGTGGCCTTCAAAACAAATGCATCTCAAAACATTATCTCGGAAACTGGATGGCCTACACAAGGTGGTACTGATTGTGGTGCTGCTACTACTTGTGCTCAAGGTAGCGTGGCAGGAATCACGGAACTAAACACTTTCATGGAGAACTGGGTCTGCGATGCAATTACAAACGGAACGAACTACTTTTGGTTCGAGGCATTTGATGAACCTTGGAAGATTCAATATAATTCAGGAGATCAAAATTGGGAAGATCATTGGGGTATTATGGATGTTAATAGGGTGTTGAAGGATGGAGTGAAAATTCCTGATTGTGGAGGAAAGACAGTTTCATGATGAATGTGTGCGTGTCTGCATGCGTAGATTGAAATTTGTTTGTGATTAACAATGGGCATTCCGTCGAATTTGATGGGCTTATTGAAAAGAATGCGAATTGCAGGAAGAATATCGTACGCAATGCTATTGAATGGCGAATATTTTGGTGGAGTAATCTCTTTTTTGGACCCTTTTGGCAAAGTGGAATTTCAATACTACGAGGCGTTTTTGGAAGGGGGAGAGGGATATTTTTTTGCATTTCAGATGAGATGAGTTGAATTGAATTGAAATGAACTTATCCGGATATCTTTTGCGATGAAATGGGATGGTTTGAAATGGGATAGGATAGGATCGTGGGGGACATTGTACATAGATAATGAACTTTTTCTACTTTATATGAGGGATGGATTGGTATTCATTGGGTTTAGGGATTGGATGGATGGAGGGGGGGGACGAAGAGAGGTGGATATGGATATGGATATGATGTATGAAGAATATAATAAGATACGTCTTTATCTGTTTAATGTGTGGGGTGTGAGTTGAGTTGAGTTGTGATGAGCTGAGCTGAGCTGTGATGATTGTTGTATATGGGATTCCCGATCTCAATAGATGTAATTGTGTGGGGAGAGAGTACCTTGGGTTTCGGGATCATTGATGATTGTGATGTTGCGGTGATGGGATTTGTGAGTGAGTAGTGAGTGAGTAGTGAATCATCGATAGAGGAGATCGATAAAGGTACTTTTGATATGCAAATTTGAGGATTGTGGAGAAGGGTGAAGGGTAAAAGATACATGGTGAGGTGGAGTAGAGTGTAGATCAGGAGGGGTAGAGTGAAGAGAGAAATAAGGAGGTCAGGAGTGGAAATGGCGATTTGAGAGAGTGTTGGGGGAATCAGAGATGGGTTTGGAAGGGAGGGAGGGGAGGGGAGGATTGTATTTTAGAGGGGAAGAGAGAGGGGATAGATTTATTTATGTTGGAGTGAGAAGGGGAGATGAGTGTGGGGGAGGGGGAGGGGAGAAATTGGGGAGGGGGAGGGAGGAGGGAGGAAGGAGGAGGGGAATAGAAGGGAAAGGGAATGTATGTAAAGAATGGATATCCTATGTTGTATTGTACTATGTTATGTTATGTTATGTTATACGGTTTGAGTAGGGAGTTTCTTCAGATTTTGTGGAATGTGTGAATATGTGATGGAGTGATGGAGTGATGGGGTTTGGGATGAATTTTGTTGAAGTGATTAGTGGATGGATGTGTATGTGTATGTGTATGTATGTATATGTATGTATATATATTGTGTTTGTGGGAATGGAAAGGTTATGTGTATGGAATAGGATTTGAGGTTTGAGGTCAGATGAAGGGGTTTGAGATTTGTTGGTGTATCTTTAGGAATAGGAATAGGAATGGGAATGGTGTGGTTGGTGGGTTGGATGGGTTGGGATACAAAACGTAAACTGTGATGTACGGATGTGATAGGGTGTTGAGAGTTGGGGCTTGTGTGAGTTTGTTTGGGCTGGGTGACTTGAGTTGAGGAGTTTGGCGGGGAGTGCAGTGTTGAGTTGGGAGCGGGATTTTATGGCAAGAGTTATATGGGGTAAGATTTTGAGAGGGGGAGGTGTGGATTTTGAGAGGGGGTGAGGGAGGAGAGGAGGGAGGAGAGGAAGGAGGGAAAGAAGGGGGAGGTTGGATGAATAGAGATGTGTAGTAGATAGGTAGATAGATAGATATATTCGCATGCTCCTGATTTATGAATTCTGTATTTGCAAAATGCGCGGAATCGATAGGATGTGATATGAGATGTCATCATGAGTACTAATTGTATTATTGATATATGGTTCGTCGTTCATCACAAAAAGTATGGATATTGCGTGACATCTCGAGGGCTATTGGGTATACATATAATCATTATATAGAAAAATAACGAGCCATTACAAAGTAGATCATTAGTATAAGCTAATATAACTCACTTTTGATGCAATACAACCACAGGAAAAAGGAGATTATTTTAAAAAGCAGTGGAGCCTTGCGGAATATTGAAAAGCGTCATGTGTTCTATCACTCACAATAACCGCACCCAATCAAAACAAAATAGATTCAAAGATCCTTGGGATAGGGTATGACGGTGAGACCGTTCAATTCTCATTAAATGTATACATGGGATATTATATTTACACACTTCCCCATATCCTCTCTCCTCTTTAATAAAAATTATATACTAGAAATTCCACAATTCATACTCGATGATTCTTTACATGTAACTAGCATCGTAGTAGAACTCGCTAGTGAAAGATGTACCCAAGACGGTAGTGATGTCGATGGGGGCTGTTAATTGGGAGCTGAAGTTTGCACGGGGGCCTTCTTCGAGAACGCTTCCCGGGCCGAAGTTGTTGTATCTGTTGAGATTGTTAGTTGAGGGTTCAAGGTTGGAAATTCATATTAGGATAGGATCACTCACTCTCCGAAAGTAACTTCATCAGTGTTTGGAGTCGAGGTGCTCCACTCTTGCCATCCGGCCGCAATAATGTTGTTACCCAAATAACTGTTCTGGAAAACAACACGTGCGTAATCTCTCCATGGGCGTCCGAGGTAGTTGTTGTATGGAGTGAGACTGCTGTTGAGATTGGCAATGTTGGAGTTGTTAATCACATACCAGGAGTCAACAGCGGCGCTGGTGCGACCTGAAGCGGTAATGGCTCCATTGGCAATGGTGCGGATATCGTTATTTTCAAACCAGGCGAGAGCTTTCTCGCCGAAGATGAAATCGACGGCTCCGACGATCAAGCACTTGGCGTAGAGCTGGTAACCGGCCTCGGCAAGAACGGTGTCTTGGTATCCCCAGAATTGGGTGGCATAGTAACCGACGTTGGAGGCGTAGGAGGAGAGAGCAAGGTTCTGTCCATTGGAGTTGATGTGACCAAATGTGTTTTTGATGATCAAGTTGTACACCTTGGTGTTGGTGTTGTGGGCGCGGAAAGTGGCGGTTAAATCATCTGAGGTGGTGTTGATGAGGGCGAGGTTGTAGGTGAGCGTTGCTTCATTGTAGTAGTAGTCGCGGGAATCGTTGGTATAACCTTGGATGGTAAGGTTGGATGCGATTTGTGGGAGATACACTTGCTCGAAGTAGGTACCAGGAGCTACGAAGATGTATTGAGCATCGGTTGTGGTGGCGGACAATGCATTAACACCCTCTTGAAATGTGGTATAGGAGCCGGCAATGTCACCAGTTTCGTCAACGACAATTGCACCAGCTGGAGCAACAGTTCGGTTGAATGCAACAGCGCGGTTTACTAAAGCAGGGCTGGCAGAGACGCTTCCGAGCAAAGAAGCTGCAAAGGAGACGAGGGCAAAGGAACGCATGATTGGAAAGTTCTTTGAGGGAGGCGTGACTTCAATATGCGTTGATTCAAGGTTGGGGAATGGCGACTGAAGAGACCAGCCTTCTTAGGGTGCCAATGTATTTATATTTTTACAAAAAGACCAAAATCGCCATCTGCGCCAAGAAGAAATGAATGACATTTGCCCCGGAAAATTACCCCTGCATCTCGCAAGATGATTGGTGCATGAAAGTCGGATAACCCCCCCTCTCAACGGAAAATTCTCCACTATGTTTATCAGTAGCGCAGCGGACGCCGTTGATAACTTGTGGAATAGATTGATTAAAATGAGCACCCAAGGAGGGAACAGCCCGAACCGACCCCACCTCCGAGATTAGAGGATGAAATTGAAAGCCCATACTTCTCTCCAGGCACTCTCATCGGAAACGTTCCTATGCACTACATGTCGAAATGATTGCCATGGCGGGAATAATATTGAACAACGAGTGATGGATGATAAAATTCCGATATTTTTCCGGTCCACCGCTCAGGAGTGTGAGGATTTGTATAGGTTACCAGTTTGTCGGTACTTGTCCAAGTGCTTACATTGTCCCTACTAAGGGTCATATGCTCGTCGTCGCTATTGCTTTGAGTGCCGCGCAAGCTTTTGCCACAAAAAGCAAACGATTAGAAATTTCAGGACAGTAAGTACAGGCTAAATTTCCGAAAAGTCAGTGGATATGTAGATGTTCAATCGGCCCACTAATTAAGGGTAAAAGGCTTGTATATTTCCCTACATATACCTTTCGATTCCCGAGACATGTCAAATTACATGCTCGTCGTCGACACAGAAATGCAAGCCAGCTTACAATTGCAAATCGCAATTGATGTTCAGAAATAAACAGAGGGCCCAACGCCAACGGAGCTTTCGGATTGCACGGGCGTTTTCATAGTGGCCGACATCCAGAAAGGTGGGCATGATCCATATATTTGAGTTGACCGCAAATCTCTTCATAAGCCATCTCATGTATGCTTCTCGTTCTGTCGAAAAAATAGATTGAAAAGCTTCGACGAAAAGCAGGTACATGATCAAAATGAACTTATTGTCATGTAGGTTGTGGCGTTTTGGGATGGATCCTAGCCAGGGGTATTTTAACGGTAAGTTCAACTGCAAACTTAATGTAAAAAGTATCGTTGTTTGGTCTTTCAGAGAGTAAAGATATAGTTCGTGCTAATCACCTGGAAATCTTAATATGCTTTCTTGGTATACGAGGTTGACAAGATGTGCACATATGATCATCCATACATGTGCAACACCTTGCTGGGCCAACCCTACAAAACAAGAACAAAACGTGTAGTTGAAGTAGCTCTGCTCTGCTTGCTACTTTTTCGAACTCGGCAGATAAAGGGGAGGACGAAGGAAATGCAAGGCGGTTATCACGGGTATAAGAGCCGGATACAGTATTTACCTATGTAAATTATATTATCGGATGATTGTGTTCGGTCAAATATCATTAGATATTAAAGATCAATTTCATAGGAAAGTGTTCTCGGATGTTCCCGAGCCCCACCGGAAGAGGTACGGCGGTGAGATGATAGGCTCAAACGTCTTCTTATTATAGACGCACCTTGTACGCAGATTGCGACTTCCCGGATTGTGCTAACATCACACCTTGTGAAATGCTAATTACAACTACTCGTTCTCCAAGAATATGCCGGGGTTGTCTCCACTGTTTACAAACATCTCAATATCTCTTCATTTCAAGGTCTGTTACTTGAAGATAAGATGCTCAAGAACTAGATACATACAGCTATGCATCTTCCAGATATTATGTACTATGTGCTATGCCCGTTGAAGCCTTCCAAAGTAAGTTGATTTCCATGGCACTGCAATACGTGTTCCTCTTAAACCCCCATTTTATACATTGATTGCAGGGGGAGAGGGGGTAAACTGGTACCTCAGTTCATTTAGAAGCCTTGTTTGTTGGAAATGACAATCTTGGAAGCTGTGATCAAGAAGCATTTGGCCTTCTTGGTATTTTATGCGCAACGACAACATCTTCTTGGCGTTGCGGGGTTGGTCTAGGAGCAGATCACATAGTATGTGAGGAAGAAGTGAAATGGAAGCTCTCTCTTCAACTGGCATCCTAGAAATGTTAGTTTTAGTTATCACTCGGCCCATGCTCCTCGTGTTCGGCAGCTTCTAGATTATTTCCTTTTGAATCATCACGAGGAGATATTCACAAGGTATCAGAGTTCACGCTATGAATGCAGAATCGGGAGATAGGTGAACGAGAACTCTCATTCGTTACCTTACCTATATGATGGCTGTGCCAGTTACTTTTTTCAAGGGTCTAGGAACCATTAAAGCAGTTCAATGGCCCCACACTCCCCTATAAATTAAGCTTTGCTTTACAGAGTACAATATCTCAACGGAGGCTCGGAGTATACTCTTCCTCGCCATAAAGAAAGCACACCATGTTTCTCTTCGGGACTGAGACTTTTACACCGTTGGGCAGAAATCTTAAAAAGTTTCTTTGGTTTCTCAATCCACCAATGCTAATGCTTGCCCCCTCCACACTCAGAATCGTGTTGAGATGCTCCTAGCAGCCGCAACGATGATAATCCGAGGACCGCTGAGCTCGATGCCGGTCGTCGAGATCAGACATAATGAAGATTTCCGGAGCATGCTTCAAACCACACCAACATTTACCAGTTGTGGTCAAAGATTTCTGACGAAGAAGCTTAGCCCGCAAGCACTTCGCACACAATGAGCTAGATCCATAACTGATCCTAAAGTGAAGTAGTGGAAGGTAATCGCTACAACATCCGCATATTGAAGGATTATCTCGGGAAGTCCGCAAGAAGTTGATAGAGGTACTGAGGATGGCAATCATCATTGGAGTAGTCACATCTCTCTTAATTGACAGACGTGGTACGATTTTCTGCAAAGCTGTGGGGTTATTGACACGAGTATAATGCTCCAAGAGCTCACCATCATTCATGTCGACGAAATCTGATACGTCTATGCGAATTCGTGATGGATTTTGGCTTCGGTATAATTGTTCCTCTTCGCGGCTTAGATCTTTGACTTTGTCTTGCACAGATTGAAGAAATTCTGCTTGGTTGATTCTTTCACCAATAGCATAAGCAAGATTACTTGCAGCAATGCGTCTTCTAGCAATGTGGAAAATAATCGCACGAGAAGTAATAATTTTGTTCTCTGCAGCAGCTCGAACGCGAACCGGATCTTCTACCACGAACCACGCACATGCAGCGATGATCAAGAGAATTGCGACGCCATGATTATAATGGCAAGTTTATCCCCAGGCATCTTGATTTTTGTTGGTGGTTGAAAACGTTAATTGGGTTGTTGATGGACTCATTGATAAGTGCCACACTCTTGGAATTTCGGCGCAGAAAAAAGCCTCGTATGTAAGATCGATGAACAGATCTAAGTACTTAGTTTGTGATATGATAAATGAGGTGGGATTTTCATTTACTTTGACCTAAACAAAGAGCAGACAAGTGGATGGTGATCTTTAGTTCTGTTCCTGTCGTTCCTATTAATGCCGCCACTCAAGATATTTTAGATTTAGTTCTCGTTGAAGTCGCAGTAAGTGAGCAAGAACTCGACCATCGACGTTATCTAGGAACTGAAGCGTAGCCAAGTAAATAACGAGGAAACAGGCAATTGTGATGGAGGCAAGGCCCTTCAAAAGAGCCACGAAAGCAAAAGAAAGCCGTAAAAGTTGATGGGCAAGTCGAGATTCCCTTGGGATATCTAGATTATTGTTGATGATTTGTTATGTCTTGTTGTATTTTTCGAAACCCACAATCTACAAGTAAGAGAAGGCAATGGCTGGTTTTTAAAAACTAGAAATTCGAAGGTCAATCTTTCACGTTGTTGAAAGTGAAAAGAATTTCACATCTTTCACGATTGCGATCGATTCGTATTATTAGATAGTAAATATATTTATATGTCCCTGACCAATAGCTTCAGGTTAATCTGAGCTACATATTATGTCAATGTGATACTCTCATCGTCAACCCACACTCGAATGCTAATTCCCCTACATCCAAAATACACTGAGTCCCCATCTCTCATATGCACCTTCATCCGACCTTCACAACCCCCCATATCTCCATGCTCCTTGATCAAATCATTGCAAGCTACATCTCAAGTCCACCAGCCCAAAGCCCCGTTAGGTAGATCAAGTGGGTTTGCCGGACGACTCGAATCTGCCGGACGGCTCGAATCTGCATCTGCATTATCCAATCTTTCTCGTACTCTTGCAACCTGTTCACTAATATTTCCCGCAGGTCCCACCCTACTCAATGTTCTTCTGAGCTCACCAAATGCACCCACACCACCCATTGTGCTCGAAGCTCTTGGAGTTGGATCAGCAACATTCGCAACTGCACCTCCAAACACTCTTCTCAATCTTTCCCGAGCTTCCGTAATGGCATCTGGGACGTTGTTTCTCTGATACTCTACAACATTTCCATCCCGGTCAATGATTCTGTTAATGGGACCCCGACAGAAGGGACAGTTTACAGGTTGGGCATTGGGTCTTTGCCGTTGGGTTTGGATCCAGGTCTGGATACATACAAGACAGAATTCGTGGTTGCATGGGTGCACGAGGACGGCATTGGGAGGAGCGGGAAATGGAGAGAGACAGATGGGGCATTCGTTTGTGCCGACGGTGGTTGATGCCTCTGGAACTTGTGGTGAGTTGATGTCAGGAGTCGTTTGTGCTTGTTCACTGTTGTGAGTAGAAACGGGGGTGGGATTTCTGAAATTGAAAGAGCTTGTAACTGTTACACGCGGGCGATAAGTTTCTCTTCTCGGAGTGTAGACTCGACCGGTATCTGGCGGATCTGTTGCTGTTACAAGCGGGAAAGGCCTAGTTCTTCTCGGAACATAGACTGAACTGGGATTCGCGGCAAAGGGATAGCCTCTGCCTGGTGCAGCTGGCAAAGGATCATATAGTGTCGGAGTATAGACGCGATTAGCATCTCTCATGGGTCGTACACATGAAGCGTAATTAGCGCCAACTGTAGTGCGCGCATCAGAGGGTGTCTCATCGAGGTTGTCTGAGAAACTTGCACGCGAGGTACAACGTGTTCCTCTTGCGATACTCAATGTGTAGGGTTCAAGTCGATCACTGGGACGCCGAGTTCTGTCAACATTTCTGGCCCTAGGATTTGTATAGTTGAGGCGTTCTGATCCAGATCCGCCGAGCATCGAGGTACTCGTTGTTCGATTTGTAGATGGTCGATCACGTGCTCTAGAAACGATTAAAGGCAGCGGGTATTCACCCGCAATGCGAGTTGTGGGAGAGTATATTCTGGAACTGCTCTCGGTGCTCGATAGCTCATGGATTCTTGGCGCAGCTCTTTCGCGGGTTGATGTAGACGCTGCCAACGGACGACTGTTCTCTGGAACATCGCCGGGGATCCTTCTGGGTTGCAAGCCATTTGTTCGAAGGTTCGACAATACACTGTAGTAGACCACACAAAGGTTTATAATAAGATTCGAAATCGATAATAAGAGAAATTCAAAGTTGCGGACGATATGGAAACCAGTTGATTATTTGAGTTAGAGTTAAGTAGACTAATAAGTCACCTAAGTTGTAATTTATGAGAGAAGTTGTTGTTTAATTTTCTGGACGAAAGGAAAGATTCTTAAATGTTGCTTGATGTGATTTCACGGTACGACTGTATTGAGCGTGAGGTTTTTTCTGCCGTACCAATGTATACGATTCATTCACGACAACCGGATCGCAGAGTTGTTATACAGCAGTTTAGTCGGGAACAGCACCAGAGTAGCAAAATTGTCATCTTATTTGTCACGCACCGACTCAGGGAAGAGCGAGGATTCATTGTGCTGAACGCTCCAAAAAAAGTGGTTTAGCTAGTCCATCCAAACTTTGGAAGTCAAGATCCGACTTTTATGATTCAGTTCATGATTCAAGAATGAGCTCTTTGCCACTGTGAGTTTTAGGAGAGATGAAAATTCTGTGCATTCACATATCTGCTAATATTATTTCTATTGATATCGGCATGGATATGCTGGATTTGAATCTAACCTTTTGGTAAGTTCCTATAATTAAATTTCCTTGTAACACTCCACCTCAGTGTCCACCTTTGCTTCTCAGCTGTGGTTGCTTCCTTAATTTATATGTATGAATAGATATAACCTTGAGGTCGAGTGTCTTCTTGATGTCTCAGACGTAAAGAGACCTTGACTTCTAGATTGGAATAGATATATATTGCCTTAAGATAAAGAAAATGAATGTTTCTGCTTCATTTTGACCCACAGGTACACTCGCTTTGTGTATCTAGAGCCAATATAAGAGTATTCTCCAATGATTTGGCATATATGAATGGGCTCTTAGTTGATGGAGTAGCAGATGGAAATTAGAAGATTAGAATGGAAGATCACCTTCTTTCTCTGATAGTGGGGCATCTATTCAAGATGTAGTATCTCAAATGCCGTTCTAGAATTTTGAGATAAATAGCGAGGATATAACATGATAAACTGAGAAATAATGTACTGTAATAAACTGAACTAAACAAATGCTTGTACTTTCTATTCTGTTCATAGCCCCAAGATCATCAAACAGAAGTTGTTGGATACTGTCCTCTGAAGCAGTCAGGCAGGTAATAGAAAGTAGAAATGTTGTTACCAGGATGTAGATAGATGGTTCCTCCTGAATATATTAGACATATATACATATCAAGAACAATCTTCCTAAAAATCGTAGACGGATAGATTAATGTCTAGTGTGAACACGAACGACATATACTTCGAATTAAAACTGCATCATATCCAATTAAATAGCGAATACCTTCCGGTATCATATATAAGATCACAAGCCGAATGAAGCCCAAATCTCTCCAGCTCAAAGCAACCACAACGCAACAATACAAGCACCAAAAACCGTGAAACCGGTAATAGACCAAAAATGCCCATTCATTTTCATTCCAGAAGCACCACTAACTGTAACCCCCGCAGGCGTTGAAGTAGCCGTTGACGAACTGCTCGATCCCGTAGTCACAGAACTAGTTGTAGAAGGTGTGCCAAAGACGCTGTAGAAAGCTGATCCTGTCCCTTTTAAAAATTCTGTATCAATGCTAACTTCAGTATGAGCATCATTGGTTTGTTCAGTCTGTGTAGGCGAACTTGGTGGTGTTTGTGTAGGAAGTGTTGCAGCAGCAGGAGTTGGGAATGATAGAGTGGCAGAGAGTTGTTGGAAGCTGGATGAAGCGGCTGCGGAGTTGGTTTCGTAGACGGAGATTGTGGTTGTGGTTGTTATCTGGGTTGAGCGGGTAGATGTGCTGAGGTCTAGATGAATGGTGTAGTAGTAATAGTAGTAGCTCCAGTAATACCTGAGTGTTTGTTAGTAGGTATGTATGTAAATATGGCTGTGGACGTGGATGTGGACGAACCATGTAATTGTGTAATAATAATATTCATAGACCGGTATAGGCGTCAAAGTAATGGATGTTTCTGGAACTTTTGTAATTGACGAAGGAATGACGGTAGGAGCGTTAGTGGCACTAGGTGTACTGATAGTTACACTGCCAGAAGCATGTCCAGAACATGTTAAATCCGCGCAACATTTGATGCTGCCCCTTACATTCACACAGATATTTCCAGCAGTGCAATAGCTTCCATCCGAACAGCATTTACCTCCATCTGGGTAGCAATAAGGATAAGTGCAGCAATTTCATCCAACTTCGCATGTGAAACCTTGACAACAATTCTCTCCAGGCTTGACGCAGAAGCTACTTCCACAGCAGTTTTCGTCTCTTGGACAACAGCCTAGGTTGCCTTGATATTTGTTAGAATTTACCTCAAAACAATATTGAAGATAGCTTACTGGGACATAGACCATATCCAGGGTCTTCACAGGTAAGCACTCTTGGACTTAGCCATGACTTCAGCAAAGAACGCCCATCGAGAGGTGCCAATGATGTACCATTATTTGTAGAAGAATGAAACTTCGAAGAAATTAAATCATCAAATGCTGGCGTCTGATTGCCTAAAACAGCGGTATAAAAGATCAGAAAAAGAAAAAAGTGCTCGAGGTGTGAGAACATTGTGAAGATTCAAGCTCTTTCCAAACAAACTAATCTCATCTTATCTTGAACAAAGTGAACTGCGTCCACCACATTATTTATGGCCTTTATGCCACAGCGCTCAATATTATTTTTACTCATCGATGTTGACACAGCTATCTGAGCTCTGCAGAAAATGGCTTACCGAGATTTGCTGGAAGGCTGAAGTCTGATATAGCATAAGTGCATACCTCGACAGCACGAGCGTCCAATCTCCTCTCACATTTCAACGCACTTTTCATTATCATCTAGAATACCCAGAGAAGCTCCGCCAGTATCATATCGGCTCTTCCACACTTGTTATTGAGAAGATCAATACCATTACTTGTCACTTGATGTTATTGCTCTTGGCCAGTTCACCTAGCAATGTTACAGGCCATCCAACGACGAAAACCCACCCGAAAACACTGCACAGCCCCCTAAAATCTTGAGATGATATATACCATGAAGCAAATTTACCCCGATATATTCTTTCATGTGTCAGAAAATCTACCACCGCCAAGAAACGGGCTGAGTTTCCACAATCTAGGCAGCAAAAATTGCTATCAACCCATCGGTTTCATGAGGCTCAACCTTAATCTCTCAATTCAAGCCACTACACAGAACGGAAGTTTTGACTATAAAATGATTGTCGAGACGTGCAGGAACGTGGTGAGCCAGCCCAGACGGGCCACGTGCATTGTGGCATGTAAGAATTGGAGAAGCTTCAAATATGGGCAAGTAGTAAGAGAGCTTGATTGCTCCATTATGCTTACCTAGCTTAGCGACCATAGAATAAGGAAGTAACAACAGCAAGTGGAGCTTGGCAGATATAAGAAACTGTGTAATGTAAACCTGTAACGACTTCCCCACAGATTGTTGTCGCGTGAATCGCTGTGAACGATTTCTGGAAAAGGAGGGGTTTGGATGTAAAGTGAACCAACTGCTCAATCTGCTATCAAGACAGGTATTATAATAGGAAGGTTCCTAAATTTTTCATTCCATATGACCTGGTCGTCGCATCAACTACCGGGAGGTAGTTGTTGTAGGTACAAACAAAATATCCGCATGAGTCAGCAACCCCACCCTGTACCGTCCTGCATATCAACCTCACTTCCCTCCCTGCAATGTAATATCACGGAAAAATGCCTCAGCTCAACACAGATATCCAGAAATATGAAGTGGATGACAAGTCTACTGACGATGTAATTATTGGTGAGAATGCTCATCAGAAGAATCCTGACAAAAATCTGAAGCTTTCCAAAAACTTAAAGAGCATTCAAACAACAGCCAACGATTCAAGTAATATTCCAAACCAAGCCGTTCCGCCGATAACCTATTTCACGGAACCCACAACCACATACTGGCAAAGCATCCTCTCATCCAGCCATACCCCGCAAAACCCGCCCTATAAATACGGTTTCGCAGCCAAACTACCCGACTCACGTTTTCTGGTTCTCCCAATCAGACCGTTGAAAGATAATCCCAAGCATGCAGTTGCCTCACTTCTGGTTAACCAAGCCTCCATGGAAGTAGTAGATATACTTTCCGACTTTCTTGCCGATCTCGTGCGTCGTTTTGAGCCGGATGCTATTATTGGACTTCCCACTTTGGGTCTTAGTTTGGCTCCGCTTGTCGCTAGGAATCTAGGTTTAAGTATGTCACATGTCAAGATTACTACTTGAAAAAATGTATCAAGGATAGAATTAACGATTGTTAGAAAGATATATACCCCTAGGCTACTCCCGCAAATTTTGGTACGATGATGCCCTCTCCGCCTCAGTATCATCCATCACGTCCCCAGAACTGGGGTTGAAGAAAGTTTACCTGGATCCGCATCAATTACCTCTGGTTCTAGGGAAACGATGTGTTATCATTGATGACGCAGTAAGTTCTGGTGCAACACTGAAGACGACTTGGGATTTGTTGGAGAAAATTGGTTGTGACATTGTGGCTTGTGGGGTGGTGATGAAACAAGGCAATAAATGGGAACAGAGAATTGGGCAAGAGAGAGTAGATAAATTGGTTTACGTGTTGGAAAGTCCTCTTTTGGAGAACGTTGATGAGGGGTGGGTATTGAGGTCTTGAAAGTCGTGCTTAGGAGGAGTGAATTGCCAAATCTATCATACTTTTTCTGATTCTCGAGTTTGGCCAATCAAACTGTCGTTCTTATTTTTCATAGGTAGAATTTAGAATTAGAATTGCCAGAATTTGTGTGGCAAGCCCGCAGAAGATTGGAGAGGAAGATTGCAACTTATTCCTATTTCTTGACACGTTGGTCCAATAAATTATACCCTCTGCTCATGCATTCTGATATTTTAATGATCCTTATTTCAAATCTTTTCAAATGATTGATAATCATTTCTTTCCATTATCATTCTATTTATTAATGTCTGTTCTTAAAAAAAAATACAGATCGTGTACAAAATGTGTACTGTGCTCAAATATCATAATGAATGTAATGGTGTTGGGCCGTTCATTTCTGCAGCTGCAGACATATTCCTTCTATGTCTGACCTATAACACCGCCTCCAAAATTCATTCCCTACCCGGTGTATGTATCCGACCCTTGCCCTCCAATATGAGCCATACCCAAGAAAGAAACCGAACATTATAATGCATTTCATATCTCATCTCAATTAACCTCATATCTCGAAAACTTTTCTTAGCTTATCTCAACTTTTCTCATAATACCAGATCATTTCAGATCCAAAGTTTAACAGGTAGTGATGAAAAGGCCGATTGGGGATGGGTTGTAATCCTCAAACCACCACAAATCAGTGTCGCTTCCACCAGCAGTCATCTCATAGCTGATAGCCTGTCCAGCTGGACAAGCGAAAGTGTTAACAACAGTCCAGGAACCAGGTGTGATGGTCTTGCTACCGAAGTCAGTTGCAGTGCTTCCGATAGAGTTATAGGTAGAGCTGGTGGTAACAGTGGCGCCCAATTGCTTGAAATCAATGGCTCCGGAACCAGAGAAGGTATATGAGGAAGTCTCGAGCATATCTTGAGTGGGGAAGAGGAAAACGAGGGAGCAAGTCTTGGAAGCGTATGAAGCTGGGATGTCGAAGTTGAAGAGAGAAGAAACAGTGCTGTTGACGACTCCATCGTAAGAGGTACCGTATGCCTTATCTGGGGATGCAGATGAGACGGGAATGATTAGGTTGGGGGAAGAGTAGGTGCCGTCAAGGTTAGTAGGGCAAGAGTTGGAAGCTGATGCTGTGGACGAGGCCTTGGATGTGGCCGAAGAGACAACTGAGCTTGCTTGAGAGACAATAGAGGAGACGATTGAGCTAGCAGACGAAGCCTTTGGTGTGGAAACAGCGCTTGTAGTGGCTTCAACTTGGGAAGTAGTGGCTGGGGCGCTAGAAACTTCGATAGACTCGCTGGCGGTGACTTGTTTCGTGGAAACAGCAGTCATGCTCTGCACTTGAGTAACGGTAACTGTAGAAGGAGCGGCAGATTGAACTTGAGTGAGAGTAACTGTGGAAGGAGCAGCACATGTTTGATGTTGAGTTTGAGTAACCACAACAGTTTGAGCGGGAGCAGTCTCCTGTTGAGTCTGAGTTTCATGGATAGTCTGGCCAGCAGCAGATTGAACTTGGGTGACGGTGATTGTAGAAGGAGCAGCACATGATTGTTGTTGAGTCTGAGTAACCACGACAGTTTGAGCTGGTGCAGTTTGCTGTTGAGTTTGAGTCTCTTCAATAGTTTGACCGGGTGCAGTCGAAGTGACATAAATGGTCTTAGCAGATGGAGTCTGGGTGACAACAACGGTTTGAGCTACAGTAACGGTGGAAGCAGCACATGTCTGTTGCTGAGTTGTGGTAGCAGTAACGACCGAAGCTTTTGAAGATCCTGAAACTGGAGCAGACAATGAAGAGTTTGGTGATGAAACCAAGGTGGAGGATGAAACCTGTTGGGATGTGGATGTGCTTAATTTTGCTGATGCAGAGGATGAAGATGGAGCGAAACATCCACTAGCAGTCAATCCAATCTGTACACACTTATCCTGACCAGCAACAGGAGCAGTATAGATATTGTAATCGTTGTCAGAAGATGGGCATGCATAGAAGACCGATGATCCAGATTGAGAGTATGTTCCATCTGTGCTGATAGCAAAACCACCTGTGGCGCTCATACCAGTATCGCATTGGTATTGGTTAGCCTCTGAAGTTAAATAACATGGTCGGCCTTTGGAATCAGTGGTTTCACCGTTGTTGATTGTGAAGGTTGCAGTGGGGTGGTTGCCAAGGATACGAAGTTGGCCATCGTCCAATTGACCAACAATACCGGATTGACCTCCAGATGAAGTAAGGGTGTAGGAGCAAGTGTCCCGTTTGATAGAAGCAGCTGAAGCGCCAACGGCGAGAGCGAGTGATGCTGATGCGGAATACTTCATGATTAACGAGTGGAAGTTATTGTATTATTAAGTTGATATTGTAGTTATAAGCTGGAAGATGTTGGCTTGGAACAATCCGAGAGGAAGCAACTGCTGTCTATATACTTTCTCGTCGGCATTTTTTTAACCTACTAACTTTCGAGAAAAAACGATGACGCAGATTTGGTTTGTAACGACATTTGTTTACATACGAAGTATACAAGAAATGGCTCACCGAAAGAACCGAATCAATGCGAATCGAACATCGATGCCTTGTGAAAACCAGTATTCTCTTGAGCTAAAGTGTTGATCAATATGCAGCTCATCGAGTGACATTCGTCCGAGAAAGATGATTTTCACAAAACTGCGATACACTTTACTTGGTTTGACATGATCTACAAGTCTATCATCGTAACCTCAACACCCCACAAAATGCACCCCTCGGCTGGGACCCATAGTATGGGATGAACGATTTGTTGATTGAACAATATCTCCATAGACCATCCATGAATGATCCATAAATAACTAGGAACGAACGGACAAATTGCGGACAGCGGCATGAGATGTTCAGGAACGTAATCAAAAGATCGGTTAAGCACGCACTAGCTAGATTTTCACCTCAAGTGGACCATGACGAAACCATTCTTCCGGTTACCGCGTTGTGCAAAGGGGTAAGCTTTACAACCCGAAATTCGGAGAAGATGGATTGTTATCCACATCGAAACATGTGGTAACTTTTTGAAGGCGGGGTATTCCTCTTATCGTGATACAGCCTTGTGCAAAGTATCATCGTCCCAAAAACCCATAGATTTGGTGTTTCGATATACATGAAACAAATATATCAGTAGTTAAGAAAATATGGATCAGATGTCAAAGTTTGTAATATGGAGAGAGTGTTGGAGGGGATCATGTCGTCATAAAAAGTTTGCACTGGCTAACTGACAGGACCGAGGGATTGTTGTGCATCCAATGTCGAAAGTAAATCTGGATCCTCGTTTTCGCGAGGGATAACGTCGGGTCGCGAAGATGCTATTTTTACAAATTGCCATTTGTAATATTTGGAACGCCAGCACTATTCAGCACTCTAGTTTAGCCTCTCTCGGGCCTCTGTGCTAAGCTAGTCAGCGGGAGGTGGACAGTCCCACGATTTCACGTGATGATACGTACGTTTTTGTCTGGAAACACGAAAAAGTTCCATACGAATGAACATGGCTAGTGTGCTTCGCGGATGATGGTTCCGATGTCAAAGATGATTCGTGCGATTGGAAGTATGGAGATATGACGCCGGTAAGTCTGGGCTCTTGAAAAGCCCACTTTGAATAAACGTAATAGTCTGGCGTAAGCCTTGATATTTCTTGTGGAAGAACTCACTGCTGGCTGCATATATAGGTTTTGCATAGCCTTATTCTTTGGTGGTGTTGGAACATAGAAAGAGTCGTCATCACAGTTTTGAAATGGTGTCTGCAAAACGATCCAAACGAGCACTGTACAAGGCATCCAACTATTAGAGAATTGAACATGGCGAATTCTTCACCAAAAGACCTTTAGTAATTGGCAATCTCTATTACTTGAGCTGAGGTGTTTGCAAGGTCAAGAAGGCTTTCGTACGCACTTCGTTGACGTTTGCGATGCTTCTGAGGAATTGAAGAATTTGCTTCAGTCGTAATCAAGCACGCGTCTTCAGAAGCCATTCTTTTAGTTTCTTCCAGGACGAAGAGGACTTGATAAACGCCCAGAGGCGACAAGAGAGCTGGAAGCAATAAGTTTCTTTTTTCGCTCAGAGTGTTGGGATCTTTTCATGATAATGGGATGGATTGAAAAGTCTTGATGTTCTGGAAAATATTGCTTACATAATCTGTGGATTAATGCACCTCTGGATAAGTGCCAGCTGATATCCGAAAATTCGGCACAAACTCCGCGTGTGGTGACGACTCCGACCAAAGTAGCCGAGCCGGCCACGAGACTGCATTGATATCACAAGAATTCATTTGGCGATTGAGCATCAAGATGTACGGATAAGGAATTTCTTTCAGAACTTTTCATTGCAGCGAACTGACTTCCTGTCCAGACTTCCATGAATACTGATTCTTTTGTCATAGGTATCAGTTTCAAGGAACATTATCACCATGGCCGGGCATCAGATACGTGAAACGTGTGGGCAAGTTGGCAGAAGTTGGAGTAAAAAAAAGCTACTGGAAAAGATAACCGACCTTCAAGATTTGCATATTCCCTTACGCTTTTCCCAACACAATGGGTCTTTACGAGGCAATTTCTTGCTTTCTTTGACAAGGCTCTCGTCCAATCTCTACACATTTCCACAGGGATCTCGGCCTGCAAATGAGGTTGGATTTCGCGGTACAGGCATCATCTTGTGAAGGCTAACAAACTCTCAAAGGACCAAAGTTTTCTGTCTGCTGAACGTGTCTTGAAAGAAATAATACACTCGATTTTTACACATGTTCTTGGCAAATGAGATGTCAACTGGTGCAATGATCATCATCTTGATCCATCGGATACATGTACATTGTGAAAGGCAAAGAGAGCAAGGTAAGGAATTATAACAGTGGTGTTTAGCAGGGCTTCGAGCTTGAGGAGATCCTACCACTTGCAAGAACCATTTGAAAAGATTTGAGATTGTTATCTACCAGTCCATAGGCATCACTACAATAACCGCATCTGCCTGCCAAAGTCGAGCCCCTAACTCTTTGACTTTCAGCAATTGAGGGTCCTAAGAGACACAGGCGTATTTACCGTGTCCACGTTTCTTCTTCGTCGCCAATTTGAGGCGGAAATTCGAGGTCTGATATTGTTACAGAATATTGAAGTTGTGGCGTCTTCCAATTTGAAAGCTCAACAGGTTTGATGTGCACCAAATCTCTTTTATAACAAACCCATCAGTTATACTTGGTAAGCTGCCATTGAATTACTGGTAGTGATACTGAAGCTCTAAATTGCAATGTTATTTCGATGCCGGGTGTCTTTATAAAACAGCTTTGGATTGTTTGTTATTGTCTGAACCAATTAAAAAAGCGAATATCATGATTCAAACCCATGACTCAACACCGCGAAATCATCTATAAAGTAGATGGTAGTTTTCCACGGATGGTAGTAACCTACAACTCATACCTCTTTCTCAATTTTCGGGTATTTGGATGGAGCCTTGGAGGTCAAATTACCTCCAATTTCATTAAAATAGTCTGTGAATCACTATTACATCATTCAGGGAGTTTTTAGTCTCTCTAATCTGTCTGAATCTGCGACGATCAGACTGAGAATGCTATTATAGACCGTACATCGATACATTATCAAAAGAAATGGTAGTCTGTGACAGTATCTAGACAATTCTGTTGTCACTCTGCGTATTATCAGAAGACATAGTTTCCAGGGATATTGAAATTGAATACATATTACGATCGGCAAAAATACTGGTATTAATAGTAGGAGAGACGAAGCTTGCAATGAATGGTGGACTAATCGGGGGTTACGTTTCTCTTTCACCCCCATCGTAGATAAGGGGGTCAATAAATATGAACCCCCGATTAACTCAAGTTCTGTCAAAGAAGTAGTCAACTACGAAAATGACAAGGGAGGTGTTATGAAGAGCAAAAGAAGTTTTTTTGTGGCTCCGCTGGTTACTGCTTAATGGATAATGTAGAAATTGCCAAGTTCATACTACACAAAGCTGCTAGTTGCTAGCCACAGATATAACATTGTTGCTGATGCAAAAGGCACAAAGGATAGGGCATCTTGTTTTCCAAACTGGGGAGGACAGGAAATATATCGTCTCCATTGTATATACCGATGTACAGGTGTTGCTTTTGTCTGCCGGTAATCGGAAAATACGAATGCCATTACCATGCCACCCGAGGATAGCTATGCGGTAAGGAGCTACTGTTGTGTTTGATGGTTGAATGCCACATCAATACTACTCATTCAACTCTCAAATACATTACCAATACAAACAATCCAATCAGATTACAATACTGTGAATTTAGTCATTGAGATACTTCATGATCATTCACCATGTTCGACAGAATTAACACTGAAAATTGACTGATGGACAAGATCTCTCTAACAAAGGAAGAGGGATACCAGAACTACTGTGGTAGTCCAGTGAAACTACTAGAGTTTGAGAGAAATAGGAGCCCATATGCATACAACTAGGTAAATGAACATAGGGAATAAGAAAGAATGTAAGTGGTGGAAGACTACAGTTATACTTTGGAAACCAATGCAAACTCGAAACCGATCAATATCTTTTTAAAATGTGAGTAGTTTATATATACCAATTCAGACATGAGAATAAAGATATCATATCTAACAATGAATATAAATTATATGTATCATGTTATTCACTTCTGTCAAATAGAATGAGAATGAGGGGTGGAGTCCGAGCGGTAGCCTAAACTTAATCAATGTACTAAATTGGACTAAATTATCCGAACTACAGTAGCTTTAGACAGTCTTGAGTCTCTCAACTTCCTTATAATCTTCTGACACATCCTCACAATCACACAACAATTTTACAACAACCTTTTCAACAAGCTTTCTGATCAAGGTCATTTTTCTCTAGACCAAGAAATCCAGAAAAACCCAGCAGAAACAAATTTACTTAAAATTCTTCAAAACAATTATCCCTTTTCACAATGAGTTTCGACTATCAGTCGGGTAAAGTCTTCGGACTCAGCTTCAAGCAACATGATGCAAGAAAGATGCGCCATGTCTTGAAGAATTACGGAAAGCTACCAGAGAAGCAAGGTGATAGACTTGCCCTGTTTCTTCGTCTGCAGACTTTTGAAACAAGTCTTGATGAAGAAGTTTCCAAAAAAGTCAAGGACTGGTTTGAAAATGGTGGTGATCTTCCATCGACTCATCCCGTGACTGCACCTGCGGAAGAGTCCAGCGGAGAGGAAGACGATGGAGACGACGAAGACGATGGAGACGATGAAGAAGATGACGAAGAAGATGAAGAAGAGGGTTCTGATGATGAATCAAGTTCCGATTCTGGTGCTTCCGCCAACTCCGGTCACGAGTTGCTGTGGGCTGATAGAGAACGAGCCTTGAGACGCAACCCTGGAATGGACCTTTTTGACCTTTTCCCTCAGCGTAAGTCACATACCTTCTGATATTACAGTATCTTTTGTACGTATATTTACTTGAAAATTATATTGAACTCTTTATCTAGATCCTGACAATCCCGAACGCGACAACTACATCTTCGGCACCGAACCTGATAATGGCGAATTTGGGATGGAGCCCAACAGCACGGAAGAAGAAGAAGAAAGCTCGGAAAGTGAGGAGGAGAGCGAAGAAGAAAGTGAAGAAGAGCCGGAGAGTGAAGAGGATGAAGAGGAAGTGGAGGACGAGGACGAGGACGAGGACGATGAAGAAGACGAAGAAGAGGCCAAAGAGAAGCCGGAGAGTGGAGAAGCACTTGATCATTCTCAAAGCCCACCTCATAAAGTGGAATGTGTTATTTGTGCAGAGGACGTCCTAAAAGTAAACACCTGGTCTTCTATCACAGATGACTGTCAACACCCAGGTATCTTAATTTGCAAGGAATGTCTAGATCTATCGATCACCACAGATATAGAGTATGGACTTTTGAATGGTATTAAGTGTCCGCTCTGTACAGCTGTCCTTACTGATAGCGATGTTCGTCGCAAAGCATCTTCGGACGTACTTCAACGGTCGGTAACTCTTAATGGTTCTTAGGGTTCATTGCTAATAGTCAAACAGTTACTCCTACTTGAGAGAAAAAGCTTCCAGACCCGACACCTTTATTATGTGCTTAGGCCCCAAGTGCGGCGGAGGTCAAATACATGAAGGCCCGGAGCCATTGATGATTTGCGACCACTGTAAATTCAAGACTTGTGTCAAACACAAGTTACCATGGCACGAAGGACAGTCATGCGACGAATTCGATGTCGACGACTCACAAATTGAACGTTTGGAGCAGGAAGAGGCCACAGCTAAGCTGCTGGCAAAGGATTCAAGGATTTGCCCACAATGCAAAGAGTGTGTTGTTAGAAGCGATGGTTGTGACCATATGGCATGTATGTATAATACACCTCTTTATACAGCTTTGTTACTAACGATTGATACTCAGGTCGCTGTGGGAATTCCTGGTGTTACTTGTGCGGTGTTGACTGGGAAAACATCCTCAGACTCGGCGACAAAGCACATGGAAGAAACTGTCCCAACCACCCCGATTCGCACAAGCTCAGTCGAGATCAAGTGTTAGCCAATGAGACAGCTCTCACCAATCTGGTACATGGCAGACCTGTCAACGAAGCTCAAACTCAAGCCAAGTACGCCAAACAAGCTGCGAGAAGACAGGAAATGAGACCTTTGGCATTGGCTGCCGCCGAGCAGAGAATGAAGCAACAGGCTTTGGAAAAGTCAGACTCTGAGTAAGCATCCCCCCATTTAGCACTTTCATTCCATGTCCCTTCCACTCTATCATTCCGGCTCTCTGGCATATCTATGGTCTCTAGTGAACCATGCATCTTTTTATTGTTTCCAATTACTAATTTGTTCGAAGCTCCAGTAAGTCCGGACCACCCAAGAAGAAGACCAAGTTGGTAGGCGCTTGGGAGGAAAGATGATTGTACAACAGGACGAACAGCACATTAGGGCGAGAATATGACTTTTAGCGGACTTCATTGGCATTTGTGGATACTTAGGATGAAAGAATTTGATGCAACGGCGTTTGTATAATCTTCCGCGCATAGGATAGGCGACGGGATACATATATCAGGAAGTTTTGTGATACCCATTGGTGGTTGTTTCACAAGGATAGCTTACAGATATGGCGTTGTCCAATCAGCAATACTGTAAAAATAATATTGAGCAGATTATTAACGGTTTTTCTTTTCAATTATCTAGATACTATGCATTCTTTTGGTGACTGCAAGTGACTATCCATATCCATCTATAATCTGACCTTCACTTCTAAAGCATGGGATACTTAATTGTCAAACTCTAAATTTTAAAATCACACAATTTTCTCTTGGGTGCTATGTCTTCAATCATGTTTTTGGTGATGAAGTAGTGAATGTCGATGGTACAATGTGGTGTTCTGAAGGTCGGGGTTGGGATAGAGACAGGGACGAGTATTAGACCAAAAGCTGCATTGCACATAATGAACTCTGATTTTTAGCGCTTATCTAGAGAGGTGCTTCAGCTACAAATGTTTCCATAATTTCTGGGTATCCTCGGGGTGGTTGTGGGGTGTCTTTAGCTACAATTTGGCATGCTGGTAATGATTTTCATCTTTTTGTTTTCGCTTCAAGTCTTACTGGGAAGTTGGGTCTTCGGTTTGAACACTTTGTTTGAGATCATAATCATTGAGGCTGGTTTTATGCAGGTCAAGTACCTGGACTGGTGTTGATGGATATTTGGATGGTGATAATTATCATTATTGTTATTATTAAATATTAACTATTAACCATTAATGCTTATAGCTATTCAGTTATATACGCCGGTGTTATACATTAATGTATATTCGATATAGATTTTCCCTTGGTATCTGTAGAATTATATCGAAATTTCTTCTATCCTATTATCTGTTCATGAACAAACCTGACATTATTTCTTGACTATGGCATAGCGATATCCATCCATCTACTCTTCTGATATCCCTCTCCAGTGAAATTGTTTGAAAGAAATCTCCGGTGGATTCCGACCAATATTCTCAGACTCTTTCTCGAGCCAGGAAAACCACCACATTAGTAGAATATTCCTAGCGAAAGCACTGGGCTCATCAGAATCCACAAGCACACGATTCCCACTGGACATTTCTTTTATAGAAACGTAATGCGGAACTACTACGTATATGTGCTCCAGATTTCGTAGTTGACCGATAAACAGAGATGAGTGTTTAGGGGGGTCTAGCGAAAAGTGGCCCTTGTAAAGAATCAGTAACTCTTGGAGATTCTCGACACTTATCGCTAAACGTTTGACGCTTCCGGAAGGATATATATTGATGTTCTGGTAATTCTCCAATCCTTGTTCAGAGAACCACAGGATATCTTTTTCTGGACGGAAGTAGAATTGGTCCAGGATGAGTTGATCTCGAGCATGCCATCCGCATCCACGGGTTATAGTAAGGTATTTGAACTCTTCTTCTTGCATCTTCTGCCTTCCGCCAACTTGGAGGAAGGCGTCAATTTGATCGCTGGGTCGTCTGGTAGTTGGCGAATGTAATCTGGTCTGAATGTCGATTGATATGATACGTGGTTCGCTTTTAAGCGCAGCCTGGTACATGATCTCGCATCTGGTTTCTTGAGGAAGACGATCGTATAGTGGAAATTCTGGTATGGGATGCTCCCGTGGGAGTTCTCTTGAAGAGTCTGAAATGTTCACATTGGATAATCGTATGTTTAAAGAATCGACTGTTCTTAATTGAGTTTCCGAAGCTTCGGTGGTGGGTATTGGAGGTGCTGGGGGATTGAAGCTCACGTTCTCGAGATCAAAGTACGATGATTGAGACATGTGTGCTAGCGGGATGTGCTTGGCTCCAGAAGTATGAGATGTGTAGAGTATGAGAGTGACTATGTTGCTTTTGACTATCGGATGGTTGTTCTCAAGTCTGTAGTGTCTGGCTCGAGGTTAAGAGTGTGCAAATTGTTTTTTTATGGAGTGAAAAATGTTTGGAATGAAAGATTTTTGGAGTGAAAGATTTTGTAGCGAAGAATGACAGCTATAGACTTTTAAGTAGCATTAAACTAACGGTTTATTAGCAGAGGAAAAATGATTTGTATCTAGCTTACATGCTAAGAACTAATTTTAAGGAAAATCCCTTGAATTTTGACACATGACTTGCCAAGTAAGGTCGTATATGTCTAGAGAAAGGGGCTAAAATGATTCGTCTTGTGCACTAGATATCTTTTTGGAAAGAAATATTGGGACCATCATCGTTCAACGATTATAACTGAGCAGTTCAGAAGGAAATTATCTTCCATTAGAGGAAGAACTTATACATGGCGAGTCCGTAATTTCATCCTAGATTCATCCTAAGGAAAAATGTTATTCCTGGAATGGTAATGCCCAGTAGATCCTGAGTGAACTAATCTTCCTCTAAAAGAGGGACTAAAATGGTGTCCATGTGACCTTCACCTCAACTCAGATGAAATCCACCTCACTTCACCCAAACATCGATAATCGATCACCGAAGTCCATTGGTACGCAAACATTTTTGATATTGGTCATCTGATTTGAAATACTCTCCAAATTCTATCGTTCTATCTCTGAACATGTCTATTCTTGCCTTGCTATGTAACTATCATATGACAGAATTCACGACCATTAACGCAGACCCTTACATATACTCCATTGTTAACAATCCATCCTCCCGATATGTAGACCCCTTTAGTAGTCCAAACACATGCTTAGGCTAGAGAAAATAATTCAATATCCCAACCAAATGCTCGATTAAGGCGTCGTCCAAAAAACCTGGCCGTCCTGAGACTAAGCTTCCCAGGGTGAGGTTGATGAAACTGAATACTTCTCTTCAATTTATCAGCATGTTGCTCTTGAGGTGTAAAATGCCAGATGCTGCCATACAATGCTTCTGAATTCAACCCGCCCGCGGCCATTGCTTGAAGAAAGTCTTGCCAAGAAATTTCTCCGGGTGGATCTTTCTCTGAAGGTGTGTAGAACAATGCTGTAAAAACACGGTATGTCTTCTTGTTTACTTTGATGACTTCTCGCGGTGCTTGAGCTTCTTCTGCCTCTGGTACCTCTTCAGTTAAAGGCGCAGATTCCCGAGATGGCCCCGCTTTCCTGGACTTCGATTTGGCCTTTGCTTTGATTATTTGATTGCCCGGCTCTGGAGACTGGGTGCTCTTTTCTTCTTCGATTCGTACGTGCTCGAAAGAACTGATCAGCTCGTCATCAATTGCAGTGCGTTGTTCGAGAGGCGGCTTGGCCTTGGGAGCCACTTCAACCCATCTTGGCGTTCGAATCAACCTTCTTTCGCTCGAGATAAGATCTTGAAGGGCTATACTTAGTGTGGTCTCTCTGGAAGCATCAAAGTAAGCTTGATTAAGGTGATCCCAGACCTTATCGAGCAAGTTCTCAGCTTGTCGCATTCTGTGATTATTCGCCGCATTTCGTCGTCTCTCTGCAGGGTAGTGAAAGCAGTGGGGCGATTCAATGAGCTTTGTAAGCTCGTCCACGGCTTGGTTCTCCAAATTTTCAAATACATCCAACGTGCGTTTCCATTTAGACTCCGTAATGGCTTTTATGGTGCCATCATCGGCCTTAAGTCTTTGGTTTACCGATGATGCCCAAGGTTGATAGAGATATAAATCCCGACTGATCGAAGCAACAATGCCAATGTCCGATAAGATTGACCCCCCCAAGGTTGTAATGCGGTCTTTTTCAGCTGGGTTTGCAAGTAGATAACGCTCGAGCTCATCAACCAGATCCGGCAGCGAGCAATAGAGAATAGCCTCGTTTTGAGACAACTCATATAGTATGAAGAAGAGTTTATCCCGCGCTCCGGCTTTCACGTTTCCTCGTATTTTATCAGTATAATCAAGCAGGATATCTGTGACTATGCTGTCTTGGAAGACTTTTGAGAATATAATCTCTGGCCTTAAGTGATCCATTCTCAAATATTCACTAGCCCGATCTAGATTGTCCCAAAAGCACACGAATGCTTTTTCATACTCAGATGGAAGCTGCCTGTCAGAAGCTATCTCTGTCGAATACTTTCTTTCAAGATTTCGCCAGTGCCGAAAATCATCCCGCAGATTGTTCCAAAGGAGCAAGGATACACATGCGTATTCAAGGATATTGACTACTTCAAATCCTCTCGAATCTTCTTCGCTGGTATAACAATAGCGTTCGCCTCGAGCTTCAAGCATTTCAGCAAAATAGCTAGGATCTTCTCTTAGAGACCATAGGTGATCTTCTGCTGCGGCGCGTCTCGCTTCAAGGAGGTCTTCGATTCTTTGAAAGTCGATCTGACTAGGTGGTCTATAAGGGGACTCGGTTGCAGAAAAGACAGTACTCAGACGCTGAGAGGAAGAGGGAGAGATAATTTCTGGTTCAGGGACGATATTGAACTCATGATTGTCGTCCAGAAGCGCTGGAATGTCATGAAGTATTGCTGAGCAACACTTTACAAGGAATTGATACATGAAAACCTGTGCTCTCAACACCACCATTGCTTTTCCTGGAGAGAACCCTAGGCCAGATGCATAAGCCTCATCTGATTGTTCCTTTAACTCGAGGAACTCCATGTATTTTCCCGAATCTGGACTTTTGAAGACGACAGCGCGTTTCCATGGCGTCAGACCATCATAGATCTTGGGCTCTGGAATCTCCCACATATTTAACCCGAAGTGCATAGCGTAGAGATCAACATGTACAAATAGATGCGGGGAATATCGGCCTCTCGAGTTCAAAAAGAGAGGCAAGAACATGCCTTGTGTGAGGTCCTCCAAATTAATATATGGTGTCTCCATAGATCTCTGATACTCATCCAACTTTGGGGGTGCTCCAAACCAACGAGCTCGCATATTATCAAAGTCTGACGCATGCTGCTTTGGGATTTCTGGATACACTTCCTGCAGAAGTTGAGCACGTTTAACCTTAGATTTCTTGGACCAGCGCTTTCGTATGACTGGCTCGTATGCACCCAAGATGTTTTGCAAGAGATCCCAATTCTTTGCGAGTCCTTCTGCCTTTAGGATAGCCGTAGCAATCTCATCTTCTTTTAACGTTATGGGCCGTTGCAAGTCAATGTTGGCGAACATTCTCGACATTCTTATGGCGTATGGCTCTTCATCGGGGTCCACCATGGGGTTACCATGCCTCATGCTGTAACCTACAGGCTTGTAGATCTCCATCGTGGTTTCGAATTATATTCGTTATTTGGAATGAGGAGTTGGATATGGGAATCCGAATCCGTTTCGGTTTAAGTGGACTTGGAGTTGACGCGTGCTTGGCAATCAGCTAGTCAGGACTCGACTAGCGATTAGAAAAAGGAAGTGACTGTGCTTTTGAGAATGTGTTAGATTACTATCATTGAAAAGGGGAGTTGGGTTCTGTAAAAACCTTGAATGTCGTCTGATTTCGGCAGGACTGAGCTTGGTATCCAAGTCTGAATTCAATGATATGCATGCGCTTGGGAATTGACGGATACCCAGTAAGGCAGTAAGTGATAGGTGGTTATTGAAGTCTGGAGACAACAGGAAATGTAACATAAAGTAAGACACTGTAAGAAATGGGGAAAAAATTGACCCGTAAAAACAAATTTGTTCAAAGTAAAATGAGAACCTCAAGTAATCTTACCAGCTTGTACGCTAGAGTCTGCAAATATAATCTTGGAATTCGATAAACAAAAAGCCCTGTATTGATCCTTTCTCGGCTGAGTCATTTCGGACTCGGCTAGTCTCGGAAGTTAGATAAATTATCTTATAGTGAAAATAGTTTCTCAAGTGAATCATTACACAAGCAGTGAAATTCCTTAACCACAGAAAAAAAACTTGATTGTGAGCATGATGTTTGATGATTTGGTCATGAAGGGGTAATTCTGAATGGTTCTTCCGGGATGGTTATATATGAATGAAAATGAGTAGGAAATATGATACAAGGAAAGAAGGAGAGTATGCAATTTAGGGAACTTGATATGACTTTCTTTTGTATAACTTGATTGGTTTGGAGAACGTAAATAAATTCTTCTAGATGGGAGGGTTTGGTGTGCCTTTGCGCTTTTTGAAAGTTACTATAGAGTGAGTATCTTTTAGCTAGGATTTTCAGGTGCAGTATATGTATATAGAGCTTTTTGGGAGAAATTCATGTTTGTTCACTCCTTAAGTGTGATCATAGATGATTGTAATGATGCATTGAGAGGAAAATGGATAATGAGTTAGTGGAAATGAAGTCTATTTATAATTAGAGCGTGACCTGTTTGTCTAATGCTACTGAGTCAAATATAATGTTCTGTAAAGCTCATATTGTAATGGATCACTGTGCAAACCTGAAAAACATCACTATAATTATCTTACCTTGAGAGTCGTGGAAGGCAGTTATACAAACAAGCAAAAAGCAAGCAGTTGTCCTTGATGACTCCCACTGAACAAACTAATTTCATAACTCTCTTTACTTTTGAGACTATCTAGTTTTTGAATGGTAGAACTTTGAAAGAACTCCCTAGGTATAGACATATCATCTATGTTTTAGTAAAGAAAGGGTTTTTGGTCATGAAAATCCTCTTACCACACCGGTAACTCCAACTCCAACTCAAATCACAACCCACACTCCCAAGCAATATCCATCCGCCCAAGCAACCGCGACTACAGCTTCAAAAGCCCATGCTCCTTGATCCAATAAAAAGATTGCAAAATAACTTCTGTTCACCCCCACCCAACACCCCATATCGCATTCGCACCAGATTATACTCTTATGGAAATCTTACAGCACCAGCTGCTGGTACAAGCCCCGTTAAGTCTCTTCAGCCTCAGCCGATATCACGACAAGTCAGTAGCGCATTCAACCTAATGATCCCATGAAAGTAGCCGAAAAGGATTTCTGCTGGTACAGCCCACCACATTTCATGCTTATTACGCATGTAATAATTCCACGGCTTAATCATACGACTCAGAAGCAATGCCCAAAAAAGATATGCACCAGCATGATTGTTCTCGGTATAATATTCGGATTTGAGGAGTGTGAAGAACAAGAGAGAATCATAGATAATAGAGATGTTCAGCAGTCCGGAGACAAACATTGAGTAGCTAGTCCAGGGACAAAACTTCCAACATGTTCCATCAACGAGGATGGTTTTGAAATGAAAACGCCAGATTGATCGGGACCAGCGGAGAAGTTGTTGGTAGAATTTGGGCCAGCCGCCTGATGTATCTAGAGTTGTTTCAATGAGAGCTTCTGGTCTGTTGTGAAATACAGTTTTGTAGCCATGATTGATCATGTATCTGGTGTTGAAATTATCATCATCGCAATTGACTGGACCGGCTCCCAGGAAAGTTTCGGAAAGAAATTTAGTTCTGTAATCGACTGTTTGCACGACATCTGTTCGGAGTAAACATGTTCTTCCGGAGACAACCCATAGGCCACCGTCAATGTTGTAGGTTGAAGTGAGCTCATAATTGTGGCGCTCAAGGTATATACAGGCGAAAAAATTGCGGAGAGAATCAGACCGATTGTCTCCAGGCTCACGGATGACACGTTTGCAGGTTCCGACAATACCTACAGCTGGGTCTTCGAATTCTGCGAGGACACTTTGGAGAAAAGTAGGAGGCCAGAAGACATGATCATCGACATAGGCAATGAGCCCGGTTCTAACTTGAAGGGAAGCTTGGACGCATTGGACACGTTTGCTTGGTTGGTGAACAGCAATTACTTCGATCTTTCGGCCTGGAAGTTGTTTTTTCCTCATAATTCTTTCGACGACTCTGCGGGCTTGTATGAGTTTTTCGGTTCCGACTGTCGAGATTATGATTTTGGCTGGGTGATTTTCGAGGACCAAATCGATAGTTCTGACAAACTCGTCTGCAAATTCACCAACGGTTGTTATGATTACCGTAACATCACATGGTACAACAGAGGGGTGGAGCGGCGGAAGTTTGTAGCTAGAGAGAAAGTTGTAGGAAAATAAATGGACGACTACCTTCAAGAACTTGAAGACAAAAAGAAAGACGAAAGCTGCTGACCAGGGGCTGGCTACGAAGAATTCGTGGAGAGTAGCAAAGAGTTCGCGCGAGGCTTCGGAGCTGCTCGACAGCAGCAGTACTGCAGAATAAATAGGAGCCCAGCAGAGAAAATTATGGAGCGCTTCCACACCACGCCCCAGTTTGGTATTTGGCAGAGAGACTAATATAAAGAAAAGTCCTCCAATAATTGTGGTGGCACTAAAGCTTGCGAGTGTTGGATTAAGTGCGAGACCAAGAAGTTTTTGAATAACTCCAGGAATCGATAATAAAATCTGACCAGGTACAACTATGAAGGAAGCGATTGACTGGGGTATCGAATATGCGAGGAAAGGAAGCGAGGAGACCATGAGAAATGGTGTCCTGAAGAAGAAGACAATAGCCCTCAATAGATTCCACAAGATAGATCTTTCTGAGCTATGACCCAATTCCTGGTCAATAGCTTGAAGGCCTGTTCCTAGTTCCTCATTTTCTTGAGCTTCTGTGATAGTATCAAAAATTGTTGCAGCCCCATCTCTCATCTCTTCCAGAATAGGGTTTGACATTGTAAATGATATATCAAACGTCTAATTTGTAGTTGGCGGCTTGTATCAATAAAGTCAAGCTTCTAAATTTTTCAACTATAAATGAATTTCCAACAGATGGTTGTAAAGCTGGCAGATTGCTGCAAGTCTCTGAGGAAAATGCAAGTTGAGTATAGGATTCTCGAGAGACCCCAGGAAAGAAGAAAGGAACAAGGTCGAACATCCCGCACATTCAAAACTCCTTGTGAGAGCCATGGCATCAAGCCAGGTGAATACAGAGCTCAACAAAAGACTCGAATGAATTTTCGGTGCCCCACTAGGATGTAGAAATTTATCCTTGAGTCTCTTGTGAGATTTCTTTATTGAGATCAGAACTTCAGATGAAAGCGTAACTAGCCTTTCATATGAGATTAGCGTAGTGTCTTGTTCTTTGTAATTGCATTTCCCCCACAAACTGTTGAGACACGGCACATTCAGCCTTATCAATTGCATATGTGCACGAACAGTAGATTCAGGAAGATTTTTCTTCTCTTCCCGATGAGTAAGCAAATGCGAAAATGGTCTGACCCCCAATTGACATAATATCAAGTCGAATGATCGAGATTATAGAAGATGGGCCAGGTAGTAACAACAACAAAGACTGTAACAATTCCTAAGGAACAAAGACAAACATCGTGAGCCATATTTTCAGACAGGAAAACTGTGGCAGTGATAATCAATACCAGAAACACTCGTCCGATACCAGAACTATAAGGTGGGCAGTGCCATTTGAGATTAGCAACATGATGCATCTATATGTATCAAGGGTTGATGTAATGGTTCTGGGCCTATGAGCATGACTGGAGTTGAACAGGAAATGTAATAAAGCGAAGATTAGCTGTCTTTCCATTCCCTTATGTATAGAAATCTTGAAGGAGGTTGAGATATGGTTGGTACTAGTCTGTATTAGTGTGATCTAAGCCCCGCATTTTGAGCACAGACGGGTAATTAAATCTCCGAACTGCTAACCTGTTGTGCACGGTCCATGTGCAGACCTTCCCTCGGCTCCCTCCTCCTTGTTTTAGGCACCACAGTCAATCTACAAACTCTTCTACAGCACATTATCTAAGTCAACAAGTCTTGTTCATTTCCACATACACACCATAACATTAAGAACAGATAAGCGCTTTTGGAATCTTGTTCACCTGTTCATCTTAATTGATCTACCAATCCTCTTCCTCAGTAGCCCGTTGGATCGGATACTCCTCTCTTAAGCTGGCCTTGATATACCGCCTTCATATTCCATCCAAAGACTTGGGTCTCAAGTATTTCATCCAAGAGTCTCTCATAAAACAGCAGCGTACGTTTGCCAGTTTGATATTCATGTAGCCCGAGAGTGTAGAGCTCCAAAACTCTGAGCACATAGCATATAGTGACATAAGCTACAACAAAATTATGCTACCATCGGAGAATCATACTCTTGGTAGTATGAATGTTCTTAAGGCAGTATAAACCCGAGAAATAGTCAGAGAACTAATATCATTACAGAATGCCTTGTACCTGCTGTTCCCGAGATCCAGCTCCATCCGGAGAAAAATATGAGCCGTTCATCTCAATTAAAGAATTAGGAGAAAAATGTCCGCTTGACAGCAAGACTACTCAGTCCTTTAAGTTCCCTATGGTTCGCCCCGAGAGTGCAATCAATATTAGCCTCCTTGTTAAAATGCCAATAGAGATCTTCCAGCGCACTCTCAAGTATCTTGACATTGAAACTCTGGTCAATATTCGCCGTTGCTCTCAATATTGCAGACTGGCAGTTGAAGCTACCCTGGAATGGCAAGAAATTTCCGAAAATGCTCCAGAGGCATTGCGCGCCATTTTAAGTACTGGAGTAGGATCCCATGTACTTCTGCTCCAGTTGCACCATGCCTTAACAAACCCTGAATGCGAATTCTGCGTAGAAGACTTTGAGCCCCCCACATAGTAAGTACCAAAGTATTTCCAATGGCACCGAGACGTGCTAATCAAGTCAAAGTTTGGATGATGAAAAAGTCATGGGTGCCTTTTTATCACTCTTTGATGGCAAGCGAGCTTGTGCTTATTGTCTCCGGAACGATGTCTCTCTTAGAACCATTCCATACATCGACTTTATCCGACTTCAGCGTCCCAACTCTGCAATTAAAATTTGGCCCGAGGTGCAAAATCCACCAAAGTTGCGAACGCTTCCAGGTACTTACGGCTACAATAGATACAAAAGTTCCCAACGCCTGCTTCTTGTCCCCCTGGGCAACGTCGAATACGTTGATGGGATGACAATGAGCCACAACGAAAGACAATTGTTGCTGCGCTCACAACATGAAGTCATCATCCCTAAGCATCCATTCGCCGATCGCCCGGTATTGGACAGACAGCTCGCTCCGCACAATGCCTACGTGGGATTCGAACGCGAGGATGAGATAGCCCGTCGTTACATGACTGCTATTCCCTTTTCTTACTTTGGGAAGACTCATACCCACCCCAACACTAAAAAGCGTGTGAATTTTCATGGTTGCATCGAATGTCATCTCCAAGAGAGATACCACGAGAGACAATTAGTGGCATCTTTCAATCAGGGTGATGCCGACGCGGTAGTCACAGCATGCGCGGAAAACTTATACAAACGACAGACGAGACAGTGGCTCAATGATGTAGATGCGGAGAAGATCCATGCGAGAGATTTTCACGAGCGAATCGAAGGAGAAGAACAAGAGTGGAGAAAGCGAAGACAGGTGCCACTCTTAGTTTTCTCCGAACCGGATAATTCAAAAGATTTCCGAATGTAGGAACCCCCTGAAACCTACCTACAAGGTATATATTACCAAATCTGACTGTATGAATAGGTATGACTATGACTATCCACTTTTACTTTAATGTAATCGCAGTATTGGGAGCGGATACTTTGGAGTATTGGGTATACTCGGACAACTTACAAAGGAGCTTCAAGAGTTGCGAATATACATTATCATCGCTTCTACAATCTCTTGGGGGCTAATTTTGGTTATGGATCAGGGACTAGGAAAGTGTCAAGGATTTTTCACAACATATTTTGAACTCGGTATGAATGGTACACAAACATGTATATCCCATTCATTTTCTTCACATACCCATCTTTTCCCCTCCCCTCCTCCATATAATCATATACTCCGCCACCTATTTCCCACACTTCAAAAGATGGAAGAAATTATTCATTCAACTCTACTTCCCCTCAGAGCTCTCTAAATCTCACATCGTCTCTTGATATTCCTTCTACAGATCACACCTATAGCTTAAACTTACATCTTCACGACCATAAAGCCTCTTTGAAAATTCTCAAGAAACCAAAAGTTCTATTCATAAACACGCACAAGTCTACATAGGTATTATTCCAGCCCATTCCATCCCATACATTCCGGGAAATAAAGATATTATACACCCCTAAAACGAAAAACATACAATTCATACACAAATCCGTGCTCCATTCCTTTCACTGTTCCCTTCCCTTCCTGCTTCACTACTCCTACTATTCCCATCACAAACGCCCGAGAATGAATTTCTACTTCATTCTGCGCGAAGATCTCCTACATCACATTATCCTCCACCGTACCATAGGAAATTACAAGAATCCCTTGCTCATGCTATCCTGCCTGCTCAAACTACTTTTTCGTTTAGGGATGTCAATCCCTGCATCTTCGGAGCCAAATTCGCTACTCGGTCTCCAAGTGCCACTCGCACTTATTCTCCCACCCGGACCTTTCTGCATTCTCAATGCCTTCCAGCCTTCCAATTCGCGCTCTAACCTCAGCGCCTTTTCTCTCTCTTCCCTTAGTTCACGTTCTGCTCTACGAGCTGAAAGTTGATTGGTTGAGTCGCTTGATTGAAGCTCGTCGATTGTCTTGAGAAGTTTTTCGACCTTATCTCTCGAGCGGGCAATATCTTCTTGAAGTTGCGTGTTGGCCTTTTCTTTGCGTTCAATTTGTTGTTGAAGATCTTTGACTGTGCGATCGACATTTCTGACGGAACGTTGTGACTTGTTGCGTTCGGACTCTTGCTCATCGAGTTGGGCTTCGAGCTATTTTATATGTTAGACTAGTGATAAGTTTATGGGAAGGAAATTCTCACCTCTTGGACACGACCGTGAAGGAACCTCACGTCTTGACTGGCACTTGAATAGCCTTTAGTTTCCAAATCCAGTAGTCGGACCTGAGTTTCTTTGAGTGATTTTTCTAACGCAGCCTTCTCCTTATTCAACTGTGCTGTCATTTCTCTCTCGGCAACAATGTCTTTCTGTATTTCTGATGCAAGTGCTTCAGATCGTCTCATCTTGCCAATGGCGGCAGCTGCAATATCCTCTTGTTGTGCTAGATTAGATTTGAGTTCCAAAATCTCACGATCCATTCCAGCAGCGTTTCGTAGCGCAGGGCTATCGCTTCGTGCAAGATCATCGAGACCAGCTTTAGCTTCCTCTAGACGAGCTTGTAAGCCGCGCTTCTCGCGCTGAAGAATGTCTCGTTCGGCAGCTGCATCGTCCACATCTGTTCTGAGACTCCGCACTTGTGCTAATAATGATACAATTTTGCCTTGGGCTTCATTGTGAGCGTTGACGGCTTCATCACGTGATGTATTGAGATCCGAAAGAGTGGCTTCGAGGCGAGCCTTTTCTTTAGACCATGTTGAACTGTTCATAACTTCATCGTCCCATTTCGTTCGAAGCTGATCCAATTCTTCGCGGAGTCTTGTATTCTCTGTTTGCTTGAATAGCTTCTCCTCGCGAGCAATGTCCAATTCATTCGTGAGAGTGGCAAACTCAGCTTGGTATTTCTTTCTAGTCTGTTCCATACTAGATTCTTTGTCTTCAATCTCCATGGCACGTTGGCTTCGGTAATCTTCAAGCTCATGCTGCAATCGCTTTCTTGCTTGTACTGCGGCATCAAGATCAGAGGAAAGATCCTCGAGCTTCTCTTCATAATGTTGGTTCTGTTTTTGAAGATCTTCGATGGCTTCGTCCATTTGCTTCCGTTCTGACA